ACACACACACACACACACACACACACACATTGATTTTCTTCATGTTTTGACTATTGCTATGGCCAGCTGCACGGCTGGCACCAGAGACGTCACGGTTTGACGTCCCTGTGTAGAATGGGGTTAGCCCAAAACAGATATAATGTACAGGCCTGTTTGGTTCAGGGTCTTGCATCTTCCAGCTGCCTGCGTGCATGTTGGGGGTGCAAGATACCTGAGCGTGTAATGTTAATTTTTACCTGTGTTCATTGAATAAATCAGCACTGTACTGAAGTTACTTGGACTGCCTCGTCTCTCAGAATTAGCGTGGTACAAGAACTGGAAAGACTTTACTAACATTACACAACTAAAGCGTTCCATGAACGCCGGACATCAGCGCTGCGACACCATCACCGTCTTGCCCAGTCTCCGAGACGGGCTTCCTTCTACCCAGCGATCCGGGCGCTGATGCTACACGTGTGGCCAGCGGCTGCGTTGCCCTGGCCTTATTCACTCGGACTTCTGGCTGCTAACTATGTAACTGTCGCCTGACCGTTTTATTAACACAAAGCTGTCGATGCGTGTGATTTTATTGCGCACACACTGTGCGCTGGCTGCTGACATCTGTTTCCTTTTGTTGTTTTTTCGTTCAGAAATACAGAAATAAAAGCGAGCATCCGTCTGTTAACATGCGTAGCTAACGTCTGCCTGCTCCTTACGACGCAAGCTGTGTTAGTGCGTCGTGTCCAGACGCTTCTCGCACGTCCGTTGGATAATTATCTTCTACGCCACACAAGTAATATAGTAAAGAATTATTACAGAGTGTTAACATTCTACATAATTACATTCATAGATAATTGTCTTCTACGCCACACAAGTAATATAGTAAAGAATTATTACAGAGTGCTAACATTCTTACCCCACACCCACAATGTTCCATCCTACACGTTAGAACAAAAGTTACTTGATCAACTATCACTGCAAAACTTCAGTAATTTCCTTTTACTACTGTGACACTACCTTACAATCAGTCTTGGGCACCGCTGGTCAGGAAAACAGTGTCTTTATATGAATTCACGTTCAAATAGTAAAAACGCTTACCTTTGTCTTATTCACATACTCAGCCCAGCCCACTATAGTCGATGTTGGCGGACCTGGGTTGATTTACCGTTTGAGTGCGGTGGTGTTTCCAGTAAAAACCTAAACCTACTTTCCTTTTTACTGCGTATTTATCATAAACATAGTTACCAGTCAACCTAATCTGCATGTCTTTGCTGTAGGAGGAAGCTAGAGAAGCCACACAGGCACAGGGAGAACATGCAAACTCCCTACAGAAAGGCCTCGGGTCGACCACAGCTTGAACACAGAACCTTCTTGTGGTAAGGTGACAGCATCACTGTGCCACTTGATTAGTAAGCCAAAGAAGACATAAAGTAAAAGAGATACTGAAGTCAAACAGGGAAAAAGCTTTGTTGGAGGAAATTCATGTTAATGAAGAGTGGCGGCAGAATTGGGATTATGAAGCCAAAGGCTATGCAAGTTTGTTTGTAGGCTACAGAGGAAAGATTGATACAAGAGAAAGTATAAAATAAAATATAGACAATTTTAATAAAAGTGCAAACATGTTTGATACAAGTACAGACAAGTTTAAATTAGAATTTATAGAATAAGTAAAAGAGGCATATTAATTAAAAGCAGCGGAAAAAAGAACAGTCTTAAGCTTAGTTTTTAAAAAAGAAGGAAGACCTTTACATTCATTGTAGGATAAGGTGGGGGGTAAAAATAGGATAGAGCACATAATAATAGTTAGACAAATGAGAGTCAGACATAGCACTCTGTTCATTATAGGAAGACATCCTCAAGGACAGTGAGTGAGTAGTGTCAGGTAGTAGATAGTGTACAACATCTCATCATGTCATGCAGAGAATACACAGTGGAAAGGCTAGAAATGGGTTCCCAATGAAAGAAGTTAGGATGAACAGAAACCAGTTCAAAAAAGTGGACTGCTATGGACTGAGGAAGTTGTGGAGGGGGAGGGAAGATTCCTGTTTGAGAATCTGAGGGTAACTGGACTAAATAAACAGATATGGGAGGCTGACTTGAGCCAGAAGGTGGCGATGCAACATTATGATGGCAGCTGCTGTTAAACCCTTGAAGAATTATTTGTATGAGTAGCGTAGAATTTGACCAATGTCAGCACGGCCCATATCAATAGATTTTAGTTGATCAGATACAGTGGGTACGGAAAGTATTCAGACCCCCTTAAATTTTTCACTCTTTGTTATATTGCAGCCATATGCTAAAATCATTTAAGTTCATTTTTTTCCTCATTAATGTACACACAGCACCCCATATTGACAGAAAAACACAGAATTTGTGACATTTTTGCAGATTTATTAAAAAAGAAAAACTGAAATATCACATGGTCATAAGTATTCAGCCCCTTTGCTCAGTATTTAGTAGAAGCACCTTTTG